ACGATCGTGGGAGCAGCGGGCCGTAGGCCCGCAGATCGTCAGTGCACAAAAGTAACGAATTCTGACCTATGTCTGGAAACAAGGCCTGTAGCTATCACAGAGTGGGAGCTGACAACACCCTCCCCAGAGAGAGTGGTATGAATCATTCACAGATTATTTGAAGGAGGAGATTGCAGTTGAAGTCTGGCCGAGTTATCCCGTCCTTCTTCGTTCAGCTTCGCGAGATTGTCTCATGCATCTTCATGTTGATGACATCATGTCAGGGTGTGAGCGCGAGAGACTGATGAGAGACATTATCTCGAAGCTCAAGAAGCGATACAAGATCTCAGTGAACAGTTTTCATGATGTGAACTCATCACTTGTGATTATCACTTTATTTCCTTTTTCACAACAACCGTTTTTCATGTCTGTGAAGATGGTTGAGTGCAAAGACAAATCGAGTTGTGTGCATGGTTCAATCGACTGTGATGTGTCGCAGCTTGCATGCTCGAAGGAGCTGCGAGAAAAATTTTTGTGTGAGCCTGGAGTCCGTCAAGGTCGAGCCCCGAGGCCCTTGTCTAGACGTCTAGGCGACAAGATGGCTGCTGAAGACGTCCCGGTGGCTCAACTTCCTGCGGATGCCAGGGCGGCTGCTTTCGGGTGTCTTGTGGGCATGCTGGCAACTGCTTCGTCTGACGGCGACTCTGCAAGGGGGCTTCGGGACACGGACAGTGAGGCGGCCCAGAGGGAGGCCGAATTGCACCCTGCCGCTTGGAGTGACTCTCCTGACAATGCCGGGTACATCAAGAAGGAATCGCCTGCGTCTCCTGCTGCGGGCGCTGCGGGTGCGGCTCGCAAGCCGCGGTGGGCTCCGGACATCTCTTTCTGCATTTTCTTCTACCGCGACAATGTCTTGGAGGCGGTCGGCAGCTGCTCTGGCTCCACTACAATCAGCACCGTCGCCAACACGGGGGCCGCTACCTGCGCATTGGACGGAGACCGCTTGGTTTTGACCTAGGTTTTTTGAGCGGCTGGGCTGGCATCCGTGTTCTGTTTTGCGGTAGACCAGACATAAGTGAACCTGCTGTCATTCCTGCTCTTTTGATGTTCGCGGGGGCTGGCCGTCGACGAGCCTTGCTGCATATGCCAGCAGGGATTGCCGCTGCTGGGGCACAACCGCTGGCCGCACACATGTAAAAATGATGCTCGTCTCCGTGCTAGTGCGAGTTTCTGCGCTTGTTTGTGACATTCGGCATTCATTCACGTGCACTGCACTTCCGTCTTTTGCATGCCCCTCGACCTTGCGGGTCTTCGCGCTCGGCTTCTTGCCTTCGAGGCAGAATCGCTTGAGGCCATTACACAGCTGCGTCGTCGGATTGACTTCTTGTCGGCCAAGCTTCACGATTTTTGGGCGCAACATTGTCATTTGGCCCGCCGGGTAACATTGTTGGAGGGCTTGCCTCAAGACACAGACGGGCCCCAACGAGTGCTTGACCTGCACTCGCTTGACTAGGCCCTGCTGCTGCTGTCGCCGAGCCCCGACGCGCCGGGAACCATTTTGGTGTCCTGACCTCGGTGGCCTGATGACTCAGAATGCGGGCACTTCTCAAGGGGTTCAGAACGGGTGCCCTCGATTCGATTTTGACAGTCTGCTGAGTTCTGCGATGGACAGTTGCTCTGAGACATTAACACGGGGCAATTTTGTTGCCTTGGGAGTCTGGTGTCTTCAAGCAGATTTTTGAATCAGAGGAAGCCGTGAGCTGGAATGACTCCTTCGACTTGCCTTCCTTGCCGGTGCCAGACGATGCAGGTGAGATCCTGCCTCCTGCTGAAAAGAAACGGAGAGTTGAGGAGTCTGGGATGTTGCCAGGGATCTGCTTCTCCGTGGTTCGGAAGGGTCCTGGGATTCCTTGGGAAGAGCAACGTGACCGCGACTTCGATAGGGCTATTGCTCGGTGGTCTTTTGTGATAATCAAGTGGTCCGAAGTGAGCCCTGATTTATTGGTTTGCCGGAGCCTGCTCGATTGCGACACAATCGATGAAAGGACGGACGTCCTCAAGGACTGGCTGCATCCGAAGGCCCCTGGAACTCTGCTCAAGCGTGTCAACTCTCTGATTCGCTACCATAAGAGTGCAGGTTGGTCCGAGGATGTTTTTCCGTACAAGGAATCAAAGGTGTACGAGTACATGAGTGCCGCCCGATCAGGGGGAGCAAAGCCGTCGCAAATGCGAGCTCTAAGAGAGGCCATCATTTTTGCCAGACACATGTTTTCCATCCCGGAGCTGGATATTGTGATCAGCAGCAGGAGATGTTTAGGGGCGTCTCTTCGGGGGCAGAAAAGGCGTGCTCGGAAAAGGGCCGACCCGCTGACGGTCAAGAATCTTCGCTTGCTACACGCGATGCTGAGGGATCCGACTGTACCGGCATGGGACCGGGTCTTTGCTGGGGCCACTCTGTGCTGTAGTTACATGCGAACGAGGTGGTCCGACTTCCAGCATGCCTCCAGCTTCCAATTGGAGTACGGAGAGGGGGGCGAAAGGCTTTTCCTTGAGTACACGTGTGAGGTCTACAAGACTGTTAACTCGAAATTCTTCGCTGGACAGCCCATTCGATTCGTGGCGCCAGGCCGGGGCATTGTTGATGACAACTGGCTCGACTTGTGGTACGAAGCGAGATTGGAGGTTGGCATTGAAGGTTTCGTGCCGCCGCTGCCGACGCCGGGCCCTACTGGCGACCCCACTGGAGCCTCGGTGTCTACTGAGGAGATCGCTCGATGGCTTCGCAAAGTTTGCGGCGACAGGGAGCACTTGCGAACTTCGGGCCACACTCTTAAGCGAACCTTCTTGACTATGGCGACGAAGAGGGGCGTGGAGCACTTAGATCGTCTTGTTCTCGGTGGCCATGCAAACTCCGCAGGCATGGCTGACATCTACGGAGGAGACGAGCTGGCTAGACCGCTGCGCTTGCTCATTGCTTTGATCTATGAAATCAAGTCAGGAATTTTTGATCCCGACGCGGGTCGTGCTGCTTACTTGAGGGGTGGTGGCCTAACGGAGCCGCGACTGGGAGGGTCATCGCCACCAAGGCGTGAACCATCTTCTGCCGGGAACTCATGGCTCCAGGTCGGACAACGGGGCAAAGAGTCTGACGATGCGACGTCTCAGGGGAACAATGACCGTTTGGACACCGATGGCAACCTGGACTGTCTGGCGAACACTCCTCCTGATGACTTTGGCGACGCGGATGAGGCAGGCGATTCGAGCTTGCCCGTACAAGGCGAGTTTGGAGCCGGGGACGATGCTGCCGGGGCTGATGATTCAAGCTCCTCCAGTTCGAGTAGTTCCGGTAGCAGTAGCTCTTCGGGTGCCGATACAGAGCCGGAAAGGGTTCTTGCAGTCCCTGAGCCGGCCGAGGGAACATATTTTCTTCAGCACCAGCGGACACGACTTTTGCATTTGATTCTCACTCATAACCGTCGAGTTCTTTTGTGCGGGAGGATGGTCACTGATTTGTACAGACCTCCGGACAAGATCCGTTATGACTCCTCCGTTTGCAGAAACTGTAAGCGGGCCGCGGCCGAGCTTTAGAGACCTATTTGACGCGAGGATCTCTCGGACAATGAATGTGAGAGGCGCTTTTGATTGCATCACTATGCTGTGGCGCAGTGATCTTCAGAAGGGCTCTTTTCATCTTTCCCCGGAGTTCTTCCTTTTATGCCTCGAGATCGTAGCTGGGGACATGTCGTTGGTAGACAGCACGGCAGCGTTCAAGCAGCGGTGCCATGATGTTGATGGCAGCGCGCTGCAGACGGCATTGGAAGCACAGGGCATCACCAGCTTTGCGTCCCTGGCTTATGCGTGCGGGACGCCGCAGGACCGTCCCACGCAAGCGGAGATGGATGCTTTTGCTACTCGCATCCTTGGTGCCGCCCCGCGTCTTGGTGACGTCGCATTGCTTAAGAGGCTCATGATGCTCATGTTTGAGGCTTGCACGTACGTGATCGCCCAACTACGGCAATCTGTGCAAGGCGAGACCTCAGAGACCCCGCGGAAACTGCCTTTGGCAGAGAAGGCGGCACGAGCTGAGGACCAAAAGCGTAGGCTTGTTGGTGTCCACATCGAGCGTGACATGATCCCATCGCACGCCCTTGTGGACTTGTGCTGCCACATGCTTGACGTGGGGGTTACATGGATCTCACCCGGGAAGTGCACTAGCCGCGAAAGTGAAATACAGCTGTCAACCAAGGACCAGAGCCGGGTCTTCAGACTTGAGGATAACTCACTTAAGGTGGGTAGCGATCAGCCCAAGGACACAGCATCCTT